CTAAAGACTCCCACCTCCACTGCCTCTTCCCCTAAAGACTCCCACCTCCACTGCCTCTTCCCCTAAAGACTCCCACCTCTCAGTGCAAGAACGAGATGAAGCACAGAACCTCCTTCAATGTTGTAGTCTCGAGCTGTCTTGTCATCTGCAAGCTGCTTGCCAGCATAGATAAGCCTGAAACCAGTGTTGTCAAAGAATTGAAATAAAGCATCAGTAATCAAAGCGCCAAAGCAACTAAAAATCAAAAAATGTCAGCAAAGAAGTTAGAAATTGCAAATCCAAGTTTCTTTTGTTTATTGTCTTTTATATGAAAATGAACCTCGACCCACAAGCAGATGAGAGGGTAAATCCTGCGAGCTTGAGCCAGCACTACTCAAGCAGATGTTAAGTCCAGGATCCAAAGCCCCAACTCAAGTATTTGTCACAGAAAAATATTATTATGGATGGATGATTTAATACTTATATACTGTGGAAATTAAGGGGGGATTAGATAGTTAACAAGGCAAATCATATTCATACCTTTGCTGCACAGGAGGAATTCCTTCTTTCTCTTCAACACGCTCCTTGATCCTATCAATGGTATCAGTTGGCTCAATGTCAATCTCAATTTCCTTCCCAGTGAGAGTCTTCACCTTAATCATAGTTCCTCCTCTAAGCCTCAAAACCAAGTGAAGTGTTGACTCCTTTTGGATGTTATAATCAGCAAGAGTTCTGCCATCTTCAAGTTGTTTTCCAGCAAAAATCAATCTCTGCTGATCAGGAGGAATCCCTTCCTTGTCCTAGACAAACAATTAAATCCACCATCATCACCAAGCATGAAGCAATATTGCAGACTGCAAAGCGCAAAACCCTCAAGATTTTAATTAGGACAAACAAACAAATAACACAACTAAACATTACAATACCATTCTAGTAGCACTTAGAGCCTTAATCCAGTCTCCCAACATACAAAATATTACTAAACTCAAAACTGTTAAACACTAAATTTTAGGTTTTAGCAAAACAAAATATTACTTAAAATTCCAAATCACCGTCAGATGTAAAGCGTAATCCAACAGCACAAAAATGATTGAATTATTTTAGTTTAATTTTCTAATAAATAATAATTACTTCGAAACTTCAATCTTCCCTATTCTTCCTTCTCCTTCCTCAGTTTCTCATCAACCAAACATAAAATCCACTAATTACACAAATCAGAGAAATAGAAACAGAAAATTTCAATCGAAACGAACAGAACCAAAACATGCGAAGAAGAAGAAATCAGATTATTCGCGAAAGAAGAGAAAAAAAAAAAAAAAAACGCAAGGAAATTGAGAAGAAGAAGAAGAAGAACCTGAATCTTGGCTTTGACATTGTCGATGGTATCGCTGCTCTCGACCTCGAGAGTGATCGTCTTCCCCGTCAGGGTTTTCACAAAGATCTGCATATCTCTCTTCTCGTCTCTTCCTCCTGCTGCAGCGGCAGCGCTGCTTCAATATTCAGCAATTGCGTTTCGGCTTTTGTGTTTTTTTCTTTTATTTTGGCGCTAGTGGAGAATTTTTGAGTCTTTAATGTATTGAATTTGGAAATTTAAGTGATAATAACTGGGAATCTGGAATAAGGGAAAAAACTGTTTTGCAATTTGTATTATGTCAAATTGTAAATAATAATTTTTAAATTTGGGAAAAGACTTTTGATATTGAGCACTTTTTTTTTATATAGTCTTAATTTTGTAATATAATACAATTTAAAAATAAAACAATTTAAAAAGTAAAAGAGAGAACTCTAATATAATCTGTGATTTTTTGGCATTCTGGGATCTGGAAGGGCCAAGTAGTGGACCTCACTTTTTGGCCCGAAAAAGTAGTGGGCCTTAACTGAGTCCTCGTTATTATTCTTTACTTTATGGTCAGGCCCACATTATCCCTAGACCGTGTTAGATTTTTGTGTACTATATTCATATTTGA